ATAAAAAGTAATCACAAATATAAACACTCTCAAATATAAAAGCCCCCATGAGACTGCTGTGTCTATATTTTCAGTCCACAGAACAGAAACGTCGAGTCCTACCATCAGCTCCTCGTTGATGATCATCTTGCTGATTATGCTGTGGACTGTGGGCATCTCCAATTCAAACATCTCAGACAGCGTAGCCATGCTGAAGGACAGACAAGCGTAGTAAAATTAAGGTTTGGCAGAACAGTGACCGATCATCTTTGGTCTGTGGGGAAGCTGCAGTGGTCTACAGAAATCTGTGGTTTAGTAAAGACTGATGAAACTAATACATCTGTGCTCACCTGATGGAGTCGTATACACTGCTGTAGGTGAACAGATAGGTCCTCAGTGACTCTTCTTGGATTTTCCTATTAAAAAAACAAAACATAAGGACGTCTAAGTGGGATTATCACACTGGTGAATGAACCAAGTGATGAACAGGGGCAGTGTATGCTAACCTGACGAGCATCTCGCGTACTCTCTGGACCTCAGGGAACAGGTCCCAAACCTTACTGTTCATCTTCTCATTGATGATGAAAGAGTGGCAGGTACGCCAGTCTCCCATCTTCATGGCTTTGCTGGCTGCCACCACGTGCTCCCTCATGCTCTCTGGGGGTCCTGGAGGACAAATAAAGCTGTGGTTATCCTCTGTGGATGAAACTTCCTGCTGCAACGAGCTCTCGTGATGCGTTTCGTACCTAGCAGGGGCTGTCTCTCCCCGACCCTGAGCTGGTGGTGGAACTGCTTGCTGATCATCCGGCGGCGGGCATCAAACTCATGGGCGGCCATGTAGGGTATTTCCAGCAGCATGGCTGACACCAGGTACACACACTCCAGCAGCTCCAGGTTGATGTGCATGTGGAACGGCACCTATTAGGGAGGATAAACGTCACGATGCATGTGTGTATCATCTAATGGATGTCTGACACATCAGTGTTTTAAAAATAAAGACCCAAACATTTGTCGTTTCATTACAGCCTTGATTTCACACTATTGTGGACACAGGCAGCTGGAGACACCATGGAATAGTTGGCACATTAATGTGAGGTCAAAATTATTATTATTAGGGAAAAAACAAAAAAGTAACTAGTCACCAAGTGCACATGAACAATTGTATGAAATCTTCTGGAAATCTGTCCTGCAGCTGTGAGAGAGGGGCCCAAAAATTCACTCACTCACAGAGTAAATCCAGGTTACAAGCAGGTCAACACTGACAGAGAGACCAACATGTTAGTTAGAGTTAACTGCTCTGGTCAGACAGCACTTACTTGTCTTCGCTTTTCAATCTTCTCCTGCTCTGCATTCCTCTCCTGCATGTTCCTCATGAGCAGACCTTGACCCAGCAGCTCCTTGGCACGGCCAGAGGACTGAATGTCCAGCAGTGCATTGTGGGCATCTTTAATCATGCCCTGCCTAAATGCACAAATGCCAAGTTGGACCATTGTTCTGTTGTACAGGATCTGGTAGGAGGAGGGGAAAACGGTTAAAACAGGCGATCTGTATATACAACTAATAGTTAGAGTCAGAACACGTTCATATGAAGAAATAATGATTACGAGTGCTTACCTGTACAGGTGGGTCAGCGTGTTGGATGTTGTCCTGCAGGTGACTCATCAGCATCAGGTCACGTGCCTGGTACCAGCGTGAGTGCAGAGCATGGTGATATATGTGGCAGAGGATAGCACAGGTACGGATACGGTCGGTGCGATCCTTGGCGTAGATGAACTTGCAGA